GAAGGAAATCTGAAGAATCTTCAATTTCTTAATTTACCAATACTGATGCTAACCAGGTATAGAGATAGACATGCTATTTCAGGAGGTCTAGGGAGATTATCCCACTTTTTTTCCTTAGCCATAATAATGGCCTCTTGAAGAGACATGAACCTACCTGGATTCACTTTTTCCAACTCTCCTGAGAACAGAGTTGAATTATCTCTCTCCTTTCTCCACCACGATGAGGTTGTTTCCCAAAAGCTGCTTTGCCATCTCCACAGCCACACTGGAACCCATCCAAATAGATTTACACACACACACACACACATTCAAAATGGACTGAGACTGGAAAGAATGCTACTAGGCACCCTCAATCTACCAAGGTTTGGCCAAGGTTTGGCCAAGGTTTGGCCACGGTAACTTTGGCCAAGATATTTAATCATTTGACCTTTCTGAGGCTTCTACTGTCTCATTAGCAAATTAGAAATAGAACTACTAATGAAGCTGGGAGGTGGTAGCTGTTATGTTTTTATTTAAAAAAAGGAAAAGAGAAAGCTTTAAGATGAGACATATTGAGTAGTTTATTATACGGGCCCGGCAGGGATGGAGACTAAGAGAGAAGAGGAACAGGGGTAATGGCTGACCACTATGGCCGGTCGCCATAGAGGCAGAGAGAGTGCATAGGTGAGAGAGAGCCAAGAAGAAACAGAGAAAGCAGAGAGTAGAGAAAAAGCAGAGAGAGAAGTTGGAGCTTTTAAAGGGAAGACTGAGTATGCACACTGAGGTTCCACGCATGTCCAGAGTCATCATGGGTGACCAGTGACATGGCGATGACATAGCACATTTTCTTGCGCATGCCCTGAGTATTGTCAGGGGCGGGGTCTGTCTCTTAAGGAGGTAGAGCTGATCAGTGTCAAAACCTGAACCTTTCAGTGGCGCAAGCCTTTAATCCCAGCACTCGGGAGGCAGAGACAAGGTGGATCTCTGTGAGTTCGAGACCAGCCTGGTCTACAAGAGCTAGTTCCAGAACAGCCTCCAAAGCCACAGAGAAACCTTGTCTCGAAAGAAAAAAAAAAGAAAGAAAGAAAACAGAAATAGAACTGCACTCTTTGCAGGGAAATTTGAGGTTAAATGAAATTAAACATACCATAACATATGAACTGGAGCCTAAAATTTCAGTTACATAAAATAAAGGAATAAATTATTGCTGGATTAAATTAAAAGGAAGATTGGTTCATAATTCTTTTTATTTGTTGCATCTTTGGTTTGGGTATCAGGGTAACTGTAGCCTCATAAAAAGAATTTGGCAATATTCCTTCTGTTTCTATTGTGCAGAATAATTTGAGGTGTATTGGTATTAGCTCTTCTTTAAAATTCTGATAGAATTCTGGCCCTAGGCTTTTTTTTTTTTTTTTTTTTTTTTTTTTTTTTTTTTTTGGTTGGGAGACTTTTGATGACTGTTTCTGACTGTTTCTATTTCCTTGGGGGTTCAAGGATGGTCAAGATCATGACAGTGAAACCCACAGAGACAGCTGACCTGAGCTTGTGGGAGCTCACAGACTGGACCAACAGCTAGGGGTCGGCATGGAACCAACCTAGGCCCTCTGCATGTGGATGACAGTTGTGTGGCTTGGTCTTTTGTGGGGCTCCTAGCAGAGGGACCATCATGAGCTGGCTCTTTGGAGTCTATTCTCTATGGTGGAATGCCTTGCCCAGCCTTGATTCAAAGGGGAGGAGCTTGGTTCTGCCTCAACTAGATAAGCCATGCTTTGTTGACTCCCATGGGAGGCCTTAGCTCTTCTGAATGGAGAAGGAAGAGGAGTGGATGGGGGGGCAGGGAGTAGAGGGAAGGTGGGGGTAGGGAATGGGAAGAGAGAAGGGAGGAGAAGCTGTATTTGGTATGTAAAATAAATTTTTTAAAAAATTAAAAGGCAGGACTAGCAAGCTGGAAACTCTAGAGGCCACAGTGGTCTGGCGCCACCTAGTGGGAGTCATCATCCAATGCTAGAGGACTTCCAGCCGGCTCCCTACTATAGAGACCTTCTTCAAGAGAAATGGCAGGGACTCTTCTTTTCTTGGTCCCTTTTATCTGATTATTTCTGGGATGTTGTGATGAGGACAAGAGATGGCAATTAACTAGTCATTTTAGGGGCAGGGAACTAGAAACTGAACAGTTAATTACTGTCCTTGGCCAGAAGCAGGAAATGTCCTTGTTTCTCAGGGCAGGCATGTCAGAAGGGACCTTGCTTTATCTTTCCCTAAATAAGTACCTGTCCTTTGCCCTGACCCTAGGGGCTCCGGTAATTCGTGAGTCCAAGGTGGATCACACCTGCAAATAATGAGTGGGAAAGAAAGAGCGGGACCAAGCAGATTCCATTGTCAAGGCCAACTTTATTGATTATTACAAGGGGTTTTTATAGAGAAGGAGGAAGCAGAGAAAAAGGACGTGTGGGGAGGGATGAATTAATTGCTCTCAGGCAGGTATCCGGAATCTCCTGTGTTAAGGAAGTGGGGGAAGGAATAGGTGTTAGTTGCTTCCCAGGCCAGGTCCCGGACCCTGAGGGGTGGGATGCTAGACTGGCTGGCGGCTAGCTAGGCATGGGGGGCCGCCAAGGCTGGCTTCTGACAGTCCTTGGCAGTAGTTCATGGCCATGTGACTGAGATTCCAGTACAGCAACTGACCCCTTTCAGTCAATGGTTTTGGACCTAGGAGTCAATGTCATGGCGGGAAGGATAATATTCATTTCCCAGTTTCAGCCATCTCCTAAACAATGTTAGGGTTACCTCTTCAGAGTGAAGAATTGATCAGGATTCTGTTGAGTTGTACTAAAGAAAAGTCATTTATTCCCTCTCACACCCCCCATCCCCCCACCCATGTCAAAGAACGGAATCCACCTCTGGCCTAAACTACCCAAAACATGAGCTAATTCAGCTAGCCCTCCTGGGACTGGTTTGCCTTAAGTAATGCTAAAGAGAGTTATTTGCTCAATAAGATCATACGCTTTTCCTTTGCCTCCTTCATTCAGTTTCAGTAGCTTATGGAGCGATGACCATGTAGCTGTGTTAAGCCTGGCCACTTTTTCTAACTTGGAAAAGAGCAACTTTTTCTTCTTTCCTTCTGTCTTTCATTTCTTTTCTTTCTCTCTTTTCTTCATCTTGGATGATGGCTGTGGCCTGGGCATACTTTCATGGACACTCTGGGCTTACTTAGTCTTTCCATCTAAAACTGGTCATCTCCACCACCGTCCACCATGTGGTAACAAAGAGCCTTTCTCTTTGACCCTTCTCCATCTTGCTCAGTAGGGCAGCTGCCTGCCCTGAGGTTTTTCTTTTAAACTCCTATAAAATTGTCCTTAAGCTTCCTTCTGAGTCCATTCTTTTTGGGGGGAGGCGGGGTTTTGAGACAGGGTTTCTCTGTGTAGCTTTGGAGCCTATGCTGGCACTCGCTCTGGAGACCAGGCTGGCCTCGAACTCACAGCGATCCGCCTGCCTCTGCCTCTCGAGTGCTGGGATTAAAGGCGTGCACCACCAACACCTGGCCTGAGTCCATTCTTAACTCTCTTGTTAAGGAGACTAAGAACACCAAGAGAAGACTCTAATCTCCCCCAGGAATATGGTGCCCCAGGTGGGGTTCTCTAAATGTCCCTGTAACACACATACAGGAACTCATCCCCTGTATTCACACTTGCTGAGAAAAGATCTCCCAGCATTTCCCATGAATGTGACACAAACCACATTACTATCTGCCTGACCCTGGAGGAATGGCGGAAGCTGATCTCCACATATGAAGGGGGTGGGGGCAAGTGGGAAAGAGAACCAATCACTTTTTATATTTTATATTTTAATTTTATATTTTAATCCACAAGCTACCCAAAGAGGTCATCTTTGTGATCAACATAGCCTGCACTGTCCCCTCCAATCTCAGTTCTTGCTACAAGCCACCCTGGATCTCTCTGTTTGTAAAACAACCTCTTTTTCTCCATAGTCTTTGAATACTGTTCTCTGCTTTTTGTGCTCGCCACCAAGGACACCCTTTCACCCCCAGGATGTCACCACCCAGTCCATTTCCTGCCAAGGTTCTAGCCTGCTTACAATCTGTAGTCATTCCATGGTATTTTACCTCTAAGTGAAATGACCTCTTCCAGTAAGAAATATGTTCTGTTGACATATGAACAACAGTTTCCGTATAGTCCCCAGCTGCCTGATTTTCTCTGACCTTTATTGTGACTTTCCTGCCCTCTCGTCACCTCTGCCCTGTTGCTTTCAGTCCACATTGTAAGAACAATACACCTGGATGACCCTGACCCCGCCCCCTAACAACAGGGCACGCACAGCCGTACATTGCAACCTGTGAGGGCTCTTGCGCAGGTGCAAAACCCCAGTGCACACACGCAACCTCCCCTTTAAAAGGCCCTGCCGCCCATCCCTCTCCCCTTCTTTTTGGCTCCTCTTGGGTTGGCTGACTACACATCCCCCCCTTTCTGGTAAATAAACTCCACGTGGGTTGTTCATCCGTTGTTCCTTTCTTTATATCAGCAGCTGTAGCTTAAACAAAAGAATAACACACATAGATTGAATCCACTGTACATTGGACGGGATGAGGATAAAGAATTCTCAGCTAGGACCTTTCAGCTAGTCCTACTAAAGTACACTTAGGTAGGTCAGGCCTCCAATGTGAAAAGAGAGATGTGCAAATATGAAGAGGGCCCATTTCCAAGCCTCGTTCACTAAGTACGCCTATTTTGCCTGCAGGCAGTGTGCCTAAACCCCGTAAACAAATCCTCCTCTTCTCTGTGCCCACAGGTCTGTGTGGACATGTAAAACCACACCCTGCCTG